TAAAAAAAACCCTAAAAAACCCTAAAAAACCCTAAAAAACCCTAAAAAACCCTAAAAAACCCTAAAAAACCCTAAAAAACCCTAAAAAACCCTAAAAAACCCTAAAAAACCCTAAAAAACCCTAAAAAACCCTAAAAAACCCTAAAAAACCCTAAAAAACCCTAAAAAACCCTAAAAAACCCTAAAAAACCCTAAAAAACCCTAAAAAACCCTAAAAAAACCCTAAAAAACCCTAAAAAACCCTAAAATCCCTAAACCCTTAATTGAAGGGTATCCTTCAATGTAATCCCCTAAATAAACACGTTTATCGTACTCCCCGAGTCCTAAAGTAGACCCTACATACCTCACAAACAACTTTTAAACACTTTTTGCTGGAAAAAGAATTATTTCCTTTTTTGGGAAACAATACCGGTTCTCTAGGCTTTCCCTAGACTCGGAACGGCTCGGATCTAAACAGGTTTTAGTCGGCTCGGCCCGGATGTAAAACTGCAAAGTTGTTTTGAAAGTCGAAACTTTAATTTAAAGTTTCGACTTTACCCCCTATGATAGTTTCACCCATGACCATCCTTTTAAGTTTGTCGACTTTCAGACAGACTTGGAGTCATCCGGAAACAACTTGAACCACATCTTTTTGTTGAAAGACAAGGTCCCCTTCGTTCTACTTCCCGTTAAAAAGACGTCAACAGAACTTAAGTCAACTGACACCGGGATAGAAAGTATGGCACATGTACTCAAACTCGAAAGATAATTGGTTCATATCATAATAATCAAGATATGTCTATCCGTAAACAAATACTGCGGATTAGAAATAGTTCACCCTTCTCAATGAGAGAAAGAGAATGGTGAAAAAGTATATAAGAAGACAAGGCTGAAGAGAAAAAATCGAAACAAGCACTTGTCCCAACGTCTTCTTTCTTTTACACACTCTCAGTCCCTTAAACACCTTTTTCACACCCCTCCTATTATAAAAAAACCCTACTTCATTCTCACCACTATGTCGAACATGAATATCCAAGGATCATCCGGTCGCCCCCAAGGTGGTCAAGACATCGCCTCCCTTTTGGCTCGCTCCGCCGAGACCAACCGAATGCGAGATGCCGCCATCATTGCTGCCAGTGCCGCCCAAGCCCTTGCCCAAGCCCAAGACCCTGATGACTCCGAGATGGGAGTGGATCGCCCCCCGGCTGGATCCACCACCCTCGATGACCTTATTATACGTTTGGGTTTAGCAACCCAGACGGAAGGTTCCTCTCTCCACCCTGGCAGTTATCTTCCCTCTTTTAAGAAGGGAGCTCTATCTGAAAAGGTGGCCGCTGACATTCTACACAAGTTTGTCAATAGAGCGGCCGTTTTGATGGATAAAGTCAAAGCGGCAGAGAAAGTTCTGCGAGAACTGAATGTACACACAACTGCTGACTATTGGGGTAAACCCTTTGTGAACAACAATCGTGTTACATTGTCCAAGGAAGCACAAGCTTCTCTTAATGCTGAGTACAATCTACTCCTTGTCAATGTAATTCGCAATGACAAGGTTAGTGTGATTGCCAAGGCTCAAGAGGAACTTGATCAAACCCTTCCGAAAAACCTATCTGATGCATTACAGGCATCATTGGTCTCTATTGAGACTAATGACCGTCTTACAATGCAAGGTAAGGACTATACTCGCACCCTTCTTAAGGCGGCTGCACAAGAGTTTGTCACTCAAGTACAGGCGCTGAGGGTTACCGCAGAACTTGAGGCAGTTAACAATGGATTAAAGGTACTCCATCAAATTGTCTATGACTGGTTTGCCCCGAGATTACATGCTATTCTCATTTCATCTAACCAATATCTTACTTCACCACGCTTAGAAAATCAAGCTGAACAAGACTTCCGCAAAGCGCGGAAAAGGCAAATCACCCCCTCACAAGCGCAAGAACGAACTTTCCAAGTTCAAGGGCCCAAAAGGCCCCGCGCCCAAGAAGGGGAAGAACAACAAGAAGAACGGACCCAAACCCAAAGGACCCAAGAACCATCCCAAAGGGAAACATCCGTCCGCGAAGGCAGAAAACCAAAGAAGCCAAAATGGCGCGCGCCGAAACGCAGCCAGAAAGAAGTAATTCATCGCGATGTCCAAAGTTTTGATGGAGTAAACAACATTTCTTCCATCACTACTATTCCACATGATATTCTTATTGTTCTAAATAAAGGAGTCAACTTCAACATCCATAAACAGCCCAGGTATGATCTGTTAACTAAAGAGGTGTTGAAATTGAAAAAACAAATGTTTAAACAGCTTAAAAAAGCCGATAAATATATCACAAACATTCACTTCAATGCGAACAAACCACAATTAATATCTGACTTAATTACATTGAGATCTTCAAACCCGCATAAGAAACTCCTTCCAAAAATCAACAAGACCATCAAGTTTATGACAGACAATAAACTTATCATTGGCCCTGCTGATAAAAACTTGGGGCTGACTATTATGGATAGCAGCTGGTATCAGAACCAGTTGTTTAATCTTCTTAATAATCGTAATCTTTATGAAAGAGACCCCTATATTGATGTCTATGTCTCCCTTAGGCATCTTAAACAATTCGCCGCACGTCTTGATCAAGAAGAACACAGAACTTTTGTTCGTGAAACTGCGGAAATAATGGAGGACCTATATAGAAAAAATAGTAACTATTTTACAATACCAGTTATGTATCTTCTTCCAAAGATTCATAAGTCGCCTATTAGCGTCCGCCCTATAGTGCCCTCCTATCCCTGGTTTACACATACGATCAGTGAGTTTGTCGATGAACAACTTCGCGATTACTTGGTGGTATTCCGCCAAGAACTACCCGATACACCCACATTGATTCGTAAACTAGAACAATTCCATTTCAATCCAAGCTATGATTATTATGTCGCCACATATGATGTCATAAACATGTATGGAAGTATAAATGTAAATAATGCTATAGAAACTATCATTAATTACTTTGATAATGATCCAAGAGAAAACCACATCAGAGATATGATGAATCTTGCGTATTGGGTTAATAAAAACTGTATTTTATCCGATGGTAAAAAACTATACAGACAAGTTACAGGACTCGCAATGGGGACGCCTATGGCGCCAACTTTTGCTCGCCTGTATGCATGCTGCGTAGAGAAAGGCTACATATTTAAAAATATACCCATTGACCAAGTTTACTTGGACATTGATGAGGATACTTTTACACAACTTGACTTTCTTGGCAAACAAAAATTCGACTTGCAAATACTTAGATACATTGATGATGGGCTTGCCCTATTCGGTGTTCCTAGATACCAAGGAAATGTAGTTTACATGACCGAGGTAGCATCAGATCTTAAAGGCTACTTTAATGAAGCACTTTATAAGATCTATGAAGAAGCAAACGACTTGAACATTACTATAGACCATGGACTCCATGGCCGCCAAGTAGCAATGCTTGACTTAAATATTACTATTGTTACTGAGAACTCAATTCAACGTATTGACATTAGTCCTCATGACAAACCCATGAATAAACACCTATACACTAGTCCAGATACTTATTTCCCTAATAAATATATTTTCAACTGGATTAATGGTGAAAACCAGCGTTTAATCCGGAACTCCGGCTATGCTAGTTATCACAAAGTTGCAAGACAGAACTTTATTAAGTTCCTCATACACCGCAACTATCCTGAACCCGTCATTCAAGAACAACTCGGAATGCACAGTTACGAAGAACGACATCAGTTGTTGTATGGTCGTACTGCTCAGAGCCAGGCTCCCGCCGATTATAATCCACCATCAGATAAAGATGAGGATGATGATATTGAAAAGAGATTCTTTTTAAAGAATATTCCTGGTAGACACAAAGTTGAACGCTTTGGTCGTAACGTAGTTCAGGCTATCCTAAAATCCAATCCCACTAAATTTAAAGATGTTAGTGCAAACTGGATAATCTATAGAGGTTCAAACATCCGCGATGAGTTGAACAAGTATAATAGAAAGATCTTAGGTCAACGCCAAATCTCGGCGAGGCTCTAAGGATGACATACAATGAGTATTAATCGTCTATCTAGACGTTATACCCAGAACCCCATATCTTACACTTGGTTTTAATTGAATATATATTTTATGGGATTTAATAGAGTTAGGTAATCTTAGGTTTTTTGAGGGAGTCTTAGCGGTAAGGGCTAGACTTGATCCTCTTTGACCCCAATAAAAAACCCTTAAGAAACCCTAAATAACCCTAAAAAAAAATCCCTAAAATCCCTAAACCCTTAATTGAAGGGTATCCTTCAATGTAATCCCCTAAATAAACACGTTTATCGTACTCCCCGAGTCCTAAAGTAGACCCTACATACCTCACAAACAACTTTTAAACACTTTTTGCTGGAAAAAGAATTATTTCCTTTTTTGGGAAACAATACCGGTTCTCTAGGCTTTCCCTAGACTCGGAACGGCTCGGATCTAAACAGGTTTTAGTCGGCTCGGCCCGGATGTAAAACTGCAAAGTTGTTTTGAAAGTCGAAACTTTAATTTAAAGTTTCGACTTTACCCCCTATGATAGTTTCACCCATGACCATCCTTTTAAGTTTGTCGACTTTCAGACAGACTTGGAGTCATCCGGAAACAACTTGAACCACATCTTTTTGTTGAAAGACAAGGTCCCCTTCGTTCTACTTCCCGTTAAAAAGACGTCAACAGAACTTAAGTCAACTGACACCGGGATAGAAAGTATGGCACATGTACTCAAACTCGAAAGATAATTGGTTCATATCATAATAATCAAGATATGTCTATCCGTAAACAAATACTGCGGATTAGAAATAGTTCACCCTTCTCAATGAGAGAAAGAGAATGGTGAAAAAGTATATAAGAAGACAAGGCTGAAGAGAAAAAATCGAAACAAGCACTTGTCCCAACGTCTTCTTTCTTTTACACACTCTCAGTCCCTTAAACACCTTTTTCACACCCCTCCTATTATAAAAAAACCCTAAAAAACCCTAAAAAACCCTAAAAAACCCTAAAAATTCCGACAGCTTCAGGAGATCGACCCTAAACATCTCAAGCCAGACCAGATTCTGGACCTTTCCGTCAGCTTTGCAGTCCTTATGCGCCAACACCTGGGCGGAATGGCTGTTAAGATGCACGAGACCCGCATGGCTAACGTTCGCGAAGCCGCAGGAGCACACTTCGAGGACGACGCTCTCAACATGTTCGACCCACAGTCCTTCTATGACCACACTAAGTCTATCCTCACCCTACAGACATACTTTAAGAGCAAGACGGGAACCGACAACCGCCGAGACAAAGGCGGCAACAACAACAACGACAATAGTCACGGCAATGGCCGACATAACTCCGACAAAAATTGGAACAACAACCAGGACCGCCGCTCACAGAGCCGCTCAGGTCGGGATTTCAATAATAGCAACCGTTCCTCCTCTTCTTTTCAGAGGAACTCCGGAAACCAAAGGCGGAACAGCCAACAGCGCGGACGAAGCACCTCCCGCAGGAACGACAGATCCCCAAGGTTGGAGGGCGGCTCAAAGGATTCTTAGGAGCCTGGAAGAGCGTTACCCAAGAGCCCCTCATCCTCGACATTATCAAGGACGGCTACAGGATCCCCTTCGAGTCACCACCACCAACATCGACAACACATCCCCCGCCACACCCGATGTCGGAGGAAGCAATGGCGAGCATCGACAAAGAAGTGTCCGATTTGTTGAGCAAGAATGCGATCGAACCCAGCTGCAACATATTAGGTTTATCATTGCTCTCTAGTTAGTCATTCCTTGTCACTCTCTATCATCTCTGACTCACTATGACACTACACCTAGAAACCTAGTTGGCGACTTTGTATATATATTTAGTTGTACCATAGTAATAACATCAATCATCACTGCTTCAACTCTCGTCCCCGTTCTATACTTCTCTGTCCCAGTCTTCGCCTGTTGCATGGTAGCAAAGGTTCCCTCGTTCCACTGACCTCTTGATTTTTCCCTCCTCGTTTTCACTGCCCGCGTTTTACTTTAATTTTCCCTCGTCCCAGCTCTCTCTGCACACCAGCCCTGAATTTCATTCCCTGCCCCTATTTTCCTTCGTACCCTCTTACACTCTGGACATTTTTGACCTCTCCGCACTTCTCTCTGCACTACCAGTCATGGTTACCCCTGCCCGCCTTAACCCCCCTCCTGTCTTTACAGGCGCCCGCGACGGTTTCTCTGCCTTGGCCTGGCTCGTTGCGGTTAACCGCTACTTCAACCTTGCTAAGATAAGTGAGACTGAACGAACACCCCACGCTCTCTCGTACTTGGGCACGCCTGGCCCTGCCCGATGGTTTGATGGATGTGGGCTCCCTGATACTTGCAACTTCGAGACCGAGTTTACTCCTGCTTTTAAGCTAGAGTACATTCCCAACAACTTTGCGGGCTCCTGTCGACGACACCTCACCAATCTTCGCATGACCACCAACTTTTCGACCTACTTATCTACATTCAAGGAACTTTTGGGCGCCCTTCTTGGTTATGCCTCCACCGACGCTGCCAAGACCACGGTCAACGAGTTCGCCCAAACATCCTTTATCGACAACTGCCCCTTGGTTCTTCAACAGATGATCGAAGGACACATTATTCAAAACCCCAATATCACCCTCATTCAGATCTTTCAATACGCCCAAGAGATGGACCGCATTTACTCCTTCAAACCCGACACCGGCCCCAAGACCAACTCGCTCGCCATCGCCTCCGCCCCCATCATTTCTTCCTTCACCTCTTCCTCCGCTCTCTCTCAAGCCACCCCCATGGAAATCGACAACATCCAGATCGCCCTCAACAATATCACCCAACGATTTAATCGCCTAGAGAGAAACATGGGTCATAACAATAACTACAACCGCAACAACAATAACAACAACGGCCCCCGAAACAACAACAACGGTAATCCCCCTTCCCTGACCCCTCAGGAACGCGAATGGTGTAAAAACAACAATGCTTGCCGTCGCTGTCGCCAACCTGGACATTATGCAAAGGAGTGCCCCATCTACGGCGACAACAACAATACCAACCGTGGCAACAACAACAACCGCCAAGGACGATGGGTTTATCAAGTAGCCGTGGGTGATTCCCCCGAGTCGGGAAAAGCCTCCGACGATCAGGCTTAGTCCAGGACTTGATCGTCGACGTTCCCTCCCTTTCTCCTCTGGACAAAGGGAGTGTTTCCTTACCAGAGTTAAGTTACAGTTCCAAGAATAAAAATTCTGCTATCAAAAACACTCCCCCCTCTGTATCCATTATTCGCACTACCACATCCGCACCTCGTAGCCTACACAAACTCTCCTTCTCTCCTCCTCCACTCTCCCTTTTTCCCTCATCCATCCCTGCCTCGCCTCGTACTCCCTCCTCAATTGCCATCGACTCGACCACCACTGCCCCCAACACTCACTCCACCACGGTACCCTTTGACGATGAGTTACAACTCACCGACGACGTATCTGATACCTCGCCTGTTGGTCTTAGCCCATCAGAAGAAGTGGACCTGGACCCACTCTCCTCTCCTGCTGCTTTAGACCAACCCATGTCCAAGCGCAGGACCAAACGCTTGCGACACAAATCCGTCCGTCTGCACGCTTTCACGGCTGAGAAAGCCTCCCGTACACTCTTGTCGTTTATTGGTAATGTGGCTGGTGCCCCTGCGCGTATTTTAATCGATTGCGGTGCGGAAGGGAACGTCATCAGTTCTTCTTTTTGCAAACAACACTCCCTCACTCGCACTCCTGGCCCCTCCATCCCCATCATCCTTCCAAACGGTTCCTCTTCCATTTCATCATCCACCTCCACCTTTACCATCGACCGCGACCACTACTCCGACAAACTGGAAGCACTCATTTACCCCCTCTCCAACTACGACCTCATCCTTGGAAAACCCTGGCTAACGACCATCAACCCTTTCATCAACTGGCGAAACAACGACCTTCACTTCACCCACAATGGACACACTGTTCTCTGGCGCTGTCGTGGTGCCAACGCCAACTCCATCTCCGCTCGCACACAAGGGAAACTCCTCTCTCACCTTCACTTTCACTCCCTTGCTACCCAACCTGGAAACGCTGTCTACCTCGCCCTCGTCAACATCGCTAAAAAGACCAACGACAACAACAGTAATGACAACAAACCGACCTCCCCTCCACTCTCACCCGACATTCACAACATCGTCCACAACGAGTTCCCCGACGTTTTCCCTTCCTCCCTCCCCTCTGGCCTTCCCCCTGACAGAGGCGATGCAATGAAGATCGAAACTGATCCGAGCGCTGATCCCCCCTTTCGCCCTGTTATACGTCTCTCGATTGCTGAATTGGATGAACTAAGGAAGCAACTCGACGACCTACTTGGCAAAGGCTTTATCAAACCCTCTACCTCCCCTTATGGTGCCCCTGTATTGTTTGTGAAAAAGAAGGATGGTTCCTTGCGTATGTGTGTTGATTACAGAGGGTTAAACCGGATTACAAAAAAGAACAGACACCCCCTTCCCCGCATTGATGAACTTATCGACCGTTTCCGCGGGGCACGCTACTTTACCAAACTTGACCTCCTCTCCGGTTACCATCAGCAACGTATAGCAGAAGAGGACACACACAAGACAGCCTTCCGTTGCCGCTACGGCCATTTCGAATTTAATGTGGTCCCTTTCGGGTTAACGAATGCACCGGCGTCCTTCTCCAATATGATGCTACGAGTATTAGACCCTGTTCTCGACAAGTGGGTTGTTGTTTACCTCGACGACATTCTTATCTACTCGCGCACCGAGGCCGAACATCTACAACATCTCCGATCCGTCCTCACGCTCCTCCGCAAGTACGGTCTCTACGCCAAGTTGAGCAAGTGCTCCTTTATGCAGAAAGAGACCGAGTTCCTCGGCCACGTCATCTCCAAGGACGGTATCCATACGAGCGGCGGTCTCGTTCGTGCCATCCGTGAATGGCCCCGTCCCCAGAAGCAGAAAGATGTTCAGCAGTTTGTTGGTCTTGCACAGTTCTATCATCAGTACATCGCTAACTTTGCCTCGATCGCCCTACCGTTGACCGCTCTCTTAGGTGAAGGCGTTCCTTTCTCTTGGTCTCAGGAGCAGGAAGTAGCGTTTACGACTCTGAAGGAGGCCATCAGTAAAGCACCTGTTCTACGTATCTTCGACCCCGACCTTCTAACAACCGTCGAAACCGATGCCTCCGGCTTTGCTCTCGGTGCCGTTCTCTTTCAGACCGATGAGCATGGCGAGTCGCGCCCCGTCGCCTTCACCTCCCGCAAGCTGAACTCTGCCGAACGCAACTACCCAACACACGAACAGGAACTGTTGGCTGTTGTACATGCATTGAAGACATGGCGCTACTATCTGGACGGATCCCACTTCATCGTATACACCGACCATGCCACCCTCCAACACTTCCCCACTCAACCCAAACTCACCCGCCGTCAGGCCCGCTGGATGGAACTGTTGCAGGAATACAACTTCACCTTCAAGTACAAGAAAGGAGCCGACAACATTGTCCCAGATGCCCTGTCTCGCCGACCGGACCATAGAGAGATTAACACACTCTCAGTACAGCTCGACCCCAGGCTCCGGCAGCGCCTGATGAATGGTTACAAAGAGGATCACCGCCTCAAACCGATCTATGAAAGCTGCCTCCAGGGAAGTCCACCGTCTAATTACTCTCTTGTTGATGGTGTTCTTTGCATTCAACGTAATGATCTTTTACTTGTTTGTATCCCCTCGAACTCTGACCTTCGGCTTTCTCTTCTTCACGATGCACACGACTCCGCTATAGCTGGTCACTTCGGTTTCGAGAAGACGTACGGTCATCTCCACTCGCGGTTCTTCTGGCCATCTATGGCGAAGGACACCCGGCTGTATGTGCAGACCTGTGAGTCGTGCCAAAGGACTAAGCCCAGCAACCAACCACCTGCTGGCCTCCTCCAGCCCCTACCCATTCCCGATCGACCCTGGCAAACGGTGACAATGGACTTTGTCGGCCCCCTACCCAAGACCCCACGCGGCTTTGACTCCATTACGGTCTTTGTTGACAAACTCACAAAGCAAGTGCACTTTGCCCCCTGCCACACCACCGACTCCGCCTCGCAAGTTGCACGCATTTTTTTCGACCATGTTTTCCGCTTGCACGGCATGCCAACCACCATTGTCTCCGACCGCGATACCAAGTTCACGAGCCGCTTTTGGAAAGAATTGAGCCGTCTGATGGACGTCCACCTTGCCATGTCGACTGCCTTCCACCCTCAGACCGATGGCCAGACCGAGCGTGCCAACCGCACCCTTATCACCATGCTCCGTAACTTTGTCGACCAACGGCAGTCTAACTGGGACCTCTTACTTTCCGCCGCCGAATTTGCCACGAACAACGCCACCAATGCCTCCACTGGAGTCTCCCCGTTCTTCTTGAACTCCGGAGCCCATCCCAACATGCCCATGTCATTGTTGACCCCTACTCCCGGCCCCAACCCATCGGTTAACGAGTTCGTGCAATCTCGAAGCGAAGCCCTCACCCTCGCTA